TTTGGAACTTATTTTATATTTTAAGTAAGTTGTATCAGTTTTTTTTATCGATTTTATATTTTAAATAATTTTCTGGAACCTATTTTATATTTTTTATTTTAAATAAATTGTATTAGTTATGTTACCGATCTGTCAGTAAAAGTGAATAATATGTAGTATATTTATGATGAAGTATAGCATGAGGTACAAGATTATACCCACATATGATTCGTTTCAATTTTCCACTTGTGGTTCGCGAAGGGTTAATACTATTAAATATTAATTATAGACTATAGTTATAAAAAAACTGAAACGTTAAACTTATAAATGTACATTCATATATTCAAATAAATAAAATCATTAAAAATAGAAAAATAGGGTCGTGTACATGTAACACAATATAATCAATAAGCCTTGACTTATTAAAAAAATTATTAAAATATTTTGTACTTACTATTTGAAACGTTTACTTAAAGTACACATTTCTTATTTTATATTTTAAGTAAAATTTTCGAAAGCAATTTCTTATTTAAAATAAAAGACAAGTTATTTTTCTATTTTAAATAAAAGTTTCTATATTTTAAATAAATTAATGTATTTTCCTATTTATATTTTAAATAATTTCTTGTGACTTATTTCCTATATTTAATATTTTAAATAAGTTCTTGGAACCTATTTTTTATTTTTTATTTCAAATAAGTCGTATCGTCAATTACTTTACCGACTCTTACGATTTTATATTTTAAATAAGTTTTTGAAACTTATTTTTTATTTTTTATTTTAAATAAATTGTATCGGTTATTTTACCGAGCCCTGGTCACAAATAATTAAAATATTAAAGTTATTGATAATAAATATATTATATAAAATATAATAATTAAAGTGTTAAAATTATTACAAAAATATACACTTCAAATTCTTTAACTTCTTTAACTATAATAATTCTTTAAAAAGTTTAGGATTATACGAAAATTATACTTAAAATTATAAGGTCGTTTATTTTAAAGAATTTAAATAATTTAGAAAAAATAATGTGATATATTATACAAAAATACAGTACTATTAATATGTAATGCATATGTATTTGATAATAATTATCAATATTATCAATAATTACGAATAATGTAAGAAATAATTAAAAACTTATATAGGTCGACAGAGTTTTCCAAGGATCATTTTTATTGCATATAACATGATTAAAGATGATTACATGGTTTATAAGTATTAAATATATGCTGAAA